ATCTAATTAGCCATGATTAGTGCCTATAAATGATATGATATTAATTTTCATTCTCCAATATAGTTTGTTTTAACCTATCTAGATAATTTGTGTTACATCTTCCAATATACAATTCTAACAATGTAATGATTTATACAATTTTTTATATATTTATTGCTCGAGTAAGTAAAGGCCCTCCCGTTGATCGTCGATTTGCTCGAGCGGGCCCAGTAACGTCTCCATTGGAGACTTTGTTGTTACTGTGTCTGGCATATCGAATACTCTCGGTAGCTTGCCGGGCTCTCCGAGAGGGGCGGAGGAATCGAACTCGGGTCGGCCATGTTGGCTGCGTGCAAGGCAGACGCCCTACCCGCTGTGCTATTGCTCCAGCCCATATATATATTTATTAATTAATAAGAAAATAAATGACAAATATGCATGTATTCAAGCATATGTGAGTACATAATCACATCCTGCTCCCCCAACCACATCATTTTTTTGTTTTAATTTTGGGCCACTAACCCTGGTTCAAGTACTCTACGTGGTCCAATGGGTGCCGCAGGTCACTCCTGGATGAAGATTCAGAAATATCTCGTGATGATCACTGGGTGTGACCCAAAAGAAAAGTAATAGTATAGCAGGTGAGTGCTAAATTTACATGCTATTGACCCAGATTCAATCCCAGGTACCAAATGTGGTCCCCTGATCTCTTCCCAGAATGATCCCTGGATTTAGATCCAGGAGGATGTCCTAACCTAATCACAGTCATCAACAAGCCAAATATACATATATATGCATTTATATTATATATATTTAATATCTGCATCTAAAACAACTGAGCAATTAAAAAAATCATATGCACATAAGTCCAGAGATATAAAGCAATTCAATGCCATCAGACAAGAAATGATGACTAGAATAAAAATACTCTGCAGACTTGGAGGGAGAGTACATTTGACTACAACTCAACTTTTTGGTGTTAAAGTGTTAATATAAGTGTTAATATCAAAGATATATAAAACACTTGAAAATTTGAACAAGAAGAAAACAAACAACTTGATTAATAATACAGGGAGAAGATGAACAGAATCTTTCTCAAAGAAGACCTACTGATGCCCAAAGAGTTTATGAAAAAAAATACTTTGTGTTATTGAACCTCAGAAAAATTCAAATAAAAATAGCTGTGAATATATCATCTCACAGCAGTGAGATGGACACAAATCACAAAGAACAAAACAATGTGTTGGCATGGACGGTGAGAAAATGGGATCTTACTTATTGTTGGTAAGAATGCAGAATTGTTCAGCATTTTTCTTTTTCCATATAAGTACCGCGCGCTAACCGATTGCGCCACTGGAGCTCCAGCGGGTAGGGCGTCTGCCTTGCACGCAGCCAACATGTCCAACCCGAGTTCGATTCCTCCGCCCTTCTTGGAGAGCCCGGCAAGCTACCGAGAGTATTCGATATGCCAGACACAGTAACAACAAAGTCTCCAATGGAAACGTTACTGGGCCCGCTCGAGCAAATCGACGATCAACAGGAGGGCCTTTTCTTTTTCCAAAAAATATATGAACACCTCAGGAATTTAGGAATTGGATCTAAGAGATAGTACAGCAGGTAAGGTATTTGCATTCTGTGTATTCAACATGGGATAAATGCCCAGCATCCCATATGATCCCCTAGCAGTGCCATGAGGGCTTCCAGATCTCAAAGACAAAAGTAAAACCTGTGTGCCACAAGTTTTGGTTTAGAATAAATAAATAAATAAATAAATATAAAAAAATAAAACCTAGGAACTGAAATCCCATATGCTCAGTTTTTCCAATTTTTGTCATTGACCCCAAGGGTCAACAAAAAAAATTTTATTCAGAAAACACATGTACACTCCTATGTCCATCGCCACAGTATTTGCAATATCAAAATCTAGCAACAAGCCAAGAACCCAAGAACAGAAGAGATAAATGAATAAAGAAACTGTGGTGCATATACATGATGGAATACTTCTCAGGATTAAGCAAAGATAAAATCATTCTATTGCTGGATGATTGGAATGATCTGGAGAGTCACATGCAGAGTGAAGTCAGAAGGAGAAGAACATGCAGAATGATATGGAGGATATATTAAAAAAGAAAAATATATAACAAAGGAACACAACAAATGTCGAAATAACACAAAAAATGCTGAAATAAACAGTGACTGGTATTCAGCAGGAAGTTTACCACAGCAGTGCATGGAGTGAAAGAGATTGGCAAGGCACTGGGGCAATGGTGGAAGGAACTGGACACACTTATAGAAGGCATCACTTCTGAAATGTTTTATGCATGAAACCCTACCACTACTAGCTTTGAAAACCCTGTTGCCTAAAAATAAATTTAAAACATAAGTAGAATATGCAAATATAATCAATAACATCAATCATAATATTAACTGTGATTAAGCAATCAGAAGTCTGTACATAATAGATTGCAGATCTTATACTCTCAAAGACATATTTATGGTAAAATATATTTTCTAATGTTCAAAAGTGTAGAAAAATGTCGGCAAGCTACCGAGAGTATTCGATATGCCAGACACAGTAACAACAAAGTATCCAATGGAGACGTTACTGGGCCCGCTAGAGCAAATCGATGATCAACGGGAGGGCCTTTACCTTTACATATAATGACAACCATAAAAAATCTGGAGTGCCGTACTATATTAGACAAATTAATCTTTAAACATATATTTTTGCCAATGATAAAAAGGACATTTTATTAAAAAAAGAACATTTTATAATAAAAATAGGTCAATAGGTCAAGGAACTATAAATATATGCAACTAGCAAGATTTGCAAACCTCACATTCAACATGGAGAAAATTCAACAGCTAATTAAAGAAACACAATTTAGACAGCCCTACTAGTAGAAAGTTATATAGAAAACAACAGCACCCAATAAGAGAATACGTTCTTTTCAGTAGCAGAAAATAGATGAAATCTTCTTCAAAACCTATCATACACGAGGTCATAAAACATGCCTCAATACATTTGCAAGAACTGGAATAATGCAATGTGTATTTTCTTAAGACATTAAATGGAATTATAGCTCAGGAACAGAAAAACATTTGAAAAAAATTAAATTTAATAAAACTATCTTAAATTGCCGGAGCAATAGCACAGCAGGTAGGACGTTTGCCTGGCACGTGGCAGACCCAGGTTCAATTCCTCTGCCTCTCTTGGAGAGCCCGGCAAGCTACTGAGAGCATCTTGCCCGCAGAGCCTGGCAAGCTCCCTGTGACATATTCAATATGCCAAAGACAGTAATAACAAGTCTCATAATGGAGATATTACTGGTGCCCGCTCGAGCAATCCAATGAAGAGTGGGAGGGCAGTGCTGTCTTAAATAACTTCTTTGTCTAAAAGACATCAAGGGAAATTTAAAAAAAACTTTCAGACACATAAAAATGATAAATAAAAATAATAAACTAGGACTGGGAAACCTTAAAACAGTTAGGGTATATCTTTTCTAATGATAAAAAAAAAACCTGAAAACTGTTTTAGATACATTAATGAAATATAAAAATAAAATTAGATTATACATTACTAAATGAAAGAAGACATTCTATTCCTTATAAGATTAAACAAAGGAAATAGTGTGTATAACTGGATGTACAAAAATAAGTTAATCACAGAAAAAAATGCTTATTAAACCAGAAACCACCATACCATAAAAATCTAAATTATATACTATAAAAATTTGAAGTAGTAATTGCAAATACACATTTAAAATAAGATTATGTCTAGGCTATGCAGTTTCACTTGTAACTTTAAAAAATTAATAAACAAAACAAAACATAAGCACCCCAAAATGCATTGAGAATACTTATCAATCCTATATTGAAAATAGTTCATCTCAACAGTAAAATGTATGAAACACATCACAAAAAGACTGACTAAAATATCTACAAAATTATACACAAAACTACTAATTTAACAGACCTCTGGAAATTAGGGTTTTTCTCATACACAAACTGAATTTAGCATCATTAAATTTAATACCACAAAATCAATTATAATTTATCAATGTTGATGTCATGGCAGAGTCTCCTGCCCCCGCGCCTGGCTGTCCTCACCGGAGTCCCTTGGAGGGGAGCGGGTTGAATTTACCTCCCCACCCAGACCAGGACTCCGGCAGCCGAAGACCTCCAGAACCAGCCACCACCATACTGAGACCACTCTCCACATGCTTGAAGGTACCGGCAGAGGAACAAAGGCATGTGGGTCCCGGGGCTGAGATCTCCAAGCCTGCTCAGATTGGGGCTGAGCATCCTCCACCCAGATCCTCCAAATTCCAGTAGGCAAGGGTCACACCCACCAACTGGCCCCCTGGTGCCGTGTAATCCCATCAATGGCCAAGACTCAGAGACTATAAAACCCAGCTCCCGGAAGCTCGCGGCCGCATTGGCAGCTGTGTGACCTCTTACTATCTCATTCCTACTTTGGACAAACTGGCAGGTACTGAATGTAACCTGCTCACACGGCAGAGTCTGGCAAACTTCCCGTGGTGTACCCAATATGCCAAATACCAGTAACAATGATGGGTCTCATTCTCCTAACCCTGAAAGAGCCTTGAATATGGCACTTTTTAAAAAATCTCAGGGCAAGGATGAAGGAGATGTTACTGGGGCCTACTCGAGGCAATCGACGAACAACAGGATGGTCGTGATCGTGATCGTGACCGTTGATGTCATATCAAGTTATACATTGAGAGATCATGATGTAAGATCCTTGGGTACAGAGAAAATATTTTCGATATCCAACATTCTGTGAGAAAGGAAGATCCTAAAGTTAGAATAATCTGGTTAAATTTCAGCTAATATTAATTCTTTACTGACTAAGTGTCCTCATTTTAACACCAAGTGCATTTCTGGGTCTCATTCTCCTAAAGAGCCTTGAATATAATCTCAGGGCTAGGATGAATGAGACGTTACTGGGGCCTGCTCGAGGCAATCGACGAATAACAGGATGATGAATGGATAAATGAATGAATTTCTATTAAAATAATGGCAATTTAGGAACTATACAGAGAAGATTAGCATGAACCCTGCTCAAGGATGACACGAAAATCTGTGAAGTTTTTCATATTTTTTATTATGAAAATTTTCCACACCAAATGTTTACATAAATAAAATGAAAAGAAGATTATTCCTAGTTTATAAATTTAAAAAAATGTTGAATAAAATAAAATTATGGACATAAAAAATAATGGCAATATAGGCTAGGTACTCAAGTAAGAGAATGTGCGCTATACTGAAATGAATGAAAACTATACCTCGAGTATGATTTTTTGCAAAAAATATCTTTGAGTTCAATAATGATGAATACATCATTAAACATGTATTAATGTTATATAAATACAACAGCAATCAACTATCTGAAAATGAAGCTACTAATTTCACTTACTTTATCAGAAAAATTAAAATTACTCTGGAATAAATTTTACCAATGGTTTACAAAATATACTTGAAAAACTACAAAACACTCTATTAGATTTAAAGAACCCCTGTAATTTTGAAATAGACTAGAGAGATGGAACAGGGGAAAAATTACCTGTTTACATGCAACTGACCTCTGTTCAATTCTCAGTACCACTTATGGTCACCTGAGCACCACTGAAGTGACAACTGATCACTTTTTATTATGATGAAATCAAAGCCCTAGCATATTTTTATTTTTAATTTAGAGATTAACACCTAAAATAAATTTATTGTTAACCATAGATATAGCTATAGAGTCTAAGAGCTGTTATTTTTTTTTCTGGGTTTCTTATTTTAAAGCTATTTAAATTCTTTGTTGAAGTATTTTCTTTCATATCACTTGTTCAAACTTCTTGAAGATATTTTCTCTCAGTTTCATCAGTTGTTCTTCAGGGATCAGATGTGAGTTCCACACTCCTGTTGAAATCCTGCCTTGGTGCCGATTTTCTTCAACTTTCTGATTACCTTAATTTTGTAATTATATTAAAGAAGCAATGTATATTTGAAAATTTGGGTCACTTAAATTTATTCTATTTTTTTTGCTGATTGGTGGATAACTGCTTGACCTTTTTGTTGGAAGTGAGCATTGCTTCAGTGGCTCCAGTTTAGACTCAGAGGGAGACTCCACATTCCCCAATTTAAAATAGAGCTGGGACCAGAGTGATAGTATGGTGGGGAGGGTGCTTATTTTTCTTTCCACTAACAGACTTCCATCTCCAGCATCCCATATGGTCCCAGAACAACACCGGAAATAACCCCTGAGTGCAAAGTCAGGAGTGAGTCGCTCATGAGAATCACAGGGTGTGGCCACCACATATATGTTGGCTGGAGTGATAGAACAGCAGGTAGGGCATTTGACTTGCACACCCAACCCAGGTTCTATGTTCTATTCCTCCATCCCTCCTGGAAAGCCCGGGGAGCTACTGAGAGTATTCTGCCTGCAGAGCAGAGCCTGGCAAGCTCCTATTCAATATTCAATATGCCAAAAACAGTAACAAAAAAAAGGTGGAGGGGGAGCGCTGGAGCAATAGCCCAGCTGGAAGGGTGTTTTTGCCTTGCACACGGCCCACGTGGATTCGATTCCCGGCATCCCATATGGTCCCCCAAGCACTGCCAGGGGTAATTCCTGAATGCAGAGCCAGGAGTAATCCCTGAACATCGTTGAGTGTGACCCAAAAATCAAAAAACAAAAAAAACCCAAAAAACCAAAAACAGTAACAAGTCTCACAATGGAGATGTTACTGGTGCCCACTCAAGAAATCAATGAATAATGGGAGTGCATTTATAATTTAAAAATAAATAATAAGTCCCTCCCGTTGATCGTTGATTTGCTCGAGCGGGCCCAGTAACGTCTCCATTGGAGACTTTGTTGTTACTGTGTCTGGCATATCCAATACTCTCGGTAGCTTGCCGGACTCTCCGAGAGGGGCGGAGGAATCGAACTCGGGTCGGCCATGTTGGCCGCTTGTAAGGCGAACGCCCTACCCGCTGTGCTATTTATAATTTATATTATATATAAATAAAGCCTGTAGGCTTGGAGGTCTCGGCCCCGGAACCCGCGTGGCTTTGTCCCTCTGCCAGTACCTTCATGTGTACGGAGAGTGGTCTCAGCATGGTGGTGGCTGGTCCTGGAGGTCTTCAGCTGCCGGAGCCCTGGTCGGCGGGGGGAGGAAAGCTCAACCCGCTCCCCTCCAAGGGACTCCGGGAAGGAACACCCAGGCACGGAGGCAGAGACTGCGGGTTCCGGGGCCGAGACCTCCAAGCCTACTCGATTTGGAGTTGAGCATCTTCCATCCAGATCCTCCAAATTCCAGTAGGCGGGGGTCACACCCACCACCTGGCCCCCTGGCGCCGTGTAATCCCATCAGCGGCCAAGACTCAGAGACTATAAAATCCAGATCCCGGACGAGAACAGTGCAGTCTCTGCCCCCGCGCCTGGGTGTTCCTTCCCGGAGTCCCTTGGAGGGGAGCGGGTTGAGCTTTGCTCCCCGCCCCGACCAGGGCTAAGGCAGCCGAAGACCTCCAGGACCAGCCACCACCATGCTGAGACCACTCTCCGCACACATGAAGGTACTGGCAGAGGGACAAAGCCACGCGGGTTCCGGGGCCGAGACCTCCAAGCCTACTCGATTTGGAGTCGAGCATCTTCCAGCAAGATCCTCCAAATTCCAGTAGGCGGGGGTCACACCCACCACCTGGCCCCCTGGCGCCGTGTAATCCCATCAGCGGCCAAGACTCAGAGACTATAATATCCAGATCCCGGACGAGAGCAGTGCAGTCTCTGCCCCCGCGCCTGGGTGTTCCTTCCCGGAGTCCCTTGGAGGGGAGCGGGTTGAGCTTTCCTCCCCACCCCGACCAGGGCTACGGCAGCCGAAGACCTCCAGGACCAGCCACCACCATGCTGAGACCACTCTCCGCACCCATGAAGGTACTGGCAGAGGGACACAGCCACGCGGGTTGCGGGGCCGAGACCTCCACGCCTACTCGAATTGGAGTCGAGCATCTTCCACCCAGATCCTCCAAATTCCAGTAGGCGGGGGTCACACCCACCACCTGGCCCCCTGGCGCCGTGTAATCCCATCAGCGGCCAAGACTCAGAGACTATAAAATCCAGATCCCGGAACCGCGTGGCCGCATTCGCGGCCGCGTGACATCTTATTATCTCATTCCTACTTTGGACAAACTTGCAGGCTATTGAATGTAGCCTGCCCACAGGGCAGAGTCTGGCAAACTCCCTGTGGCCTACCAAATATGCCAAATACCAGTAACAATGATGGGTCTCATTCTCCTAAAGAGCTGTGAATATAATCTCAGGGCTAGGATGAAAGACACGTTACTGGGGCCTGCTTGAGGCAATCGACGATTAACAGGATGATGAAAAAAAAAAAAGTTGAATAAAATAAAATGATGGACATAAATAATAATGGCAATATAGGATAGGTACTCGAGTAAGAAAATGTGCACTATACTGAAATGAATGAAAACTATACCTCGAGTATGATTTTTTGCACAAAATATCTTTGAGTTCAATAATGATGAATACATCATTAAACATGTATTAATGTTATATAAATACAACAGCAATCAACTATCTGAAAATGAAGCTACTAATTTCACTTACTTTATCAGAAAAATTAAAATTACTCTGGAATAAATTTTACCAATGGTTTACAAAATATACTTGAAAAACTACAAAACACTCTATTAGATTTAAAGAACCCCTGTAATTTTGAAATAGACTAGAGAGATGGAACAGGGGAAAAATTACCTGTTTACATGCAACTGACCTCTGTTCAATTCTCAGTACCACTTATGGTCACCTGAGCAACACTGAAGTGACAACTGATCACTTTTTATTATGATGAAATCAAAGCCCTAGCATATTTTTATTTTTAATTTAGAGATTATCACCTAAAATAAACTTATTGTTAACCATAGATATAGCTATAGAGTCTAAGAGCTGTTGTTTTTTCTGGGTTTCTTATTTTAAAGCTATTTAAATTCTTTGTTGAAGTATTTTCTTTCATATCACTTGTTCAAACTTCTTGAAGATATTTTCTCTCAGTTTCATCAGTTGTTCTTCAGGGATCAGATGTGAGTTCCACACTCCTGTTGAAATCCTGCCTTGGTGCCGATTTTCTTCAACTTTCTGATTACCTTAATTTTGTAATTATATTAAAGAAGCAATGTATATTTGAATATTTGGGTCACTTAAATTTATTCTATTTTTTTGCTGATTGGTGGATAACTGCTTGACCTTTTTGTTGGAAGTGAGCATTGCTTCAGTGGCTCCAGTTTAGACTCAGAGGGAGACTCCACATTCCCCAATTTAAAATAGAGCTGGGACCAGAGTGATAGTATGGTGGGGAGGGTGCTTATTTTTCTTTCCACTAACAGACTTCCATCTCCAGCATCCCATATGGTCCCAGAACAACACCAGAAATGACCCCTGGGTGCAAAGTCAGGAGTGAGTCGCTCATGAGAATCACAGGGTGTGGCCACCACATATATGTTGGCTGGAGCGATAGAACAGCAGGTAGGGCATTTGACTTGCACACCCAACCCAGGTTCTATGTTGTATTCCTCCATCCCTCCTGGAAAGCCCAGCGAGCTACCGAGAGTATCCTGCCTGCAGAGCAGAGCCTGGCAAACTCCTATTCAATATTCAATATGCCAAAAACAGTAACAAAAAAAGGGTGGAGGGGGAGCGCTGGAGCAATAGCCCAGCTGGTAGGATGTTTTTGCCTTGCACACGGCCCACCCGGATTCGATTCCCGGCATCCCATATGGTCCCCCAAGCACCGCCAGGGGTAATTCCTGAATGCAGAGCCAGGAGTAATCCCTGGGCATTGATGAGTGTGACCCAAAAAGCAAAAAACAAATAAAAAAAAACCCAAAAAAACAAAAACAGTAACAAGTCTCACAATGGAGATGTTACTGGTGCCCACTCAAGAAATCAATGAATAATGGGAGTGCATTTATAATTTATATTATATATAAATAAAGCCTGTACTACTAAGCCCCAATCTACAATTAGAACTCCTTCTTGCTCCCATAAATACTAACTTATTAAGAAATCTGAAGGAGAGAGGGGCTGGAGTGATAGCACAGC